TGATCAAAATTCTTTTTGAACTAATGGAAAGATGATTAGCATTTTAAAACTAAATAATGATAGCTTTTAATTTTGAAAGGTGAGATAGAATCTACCTCAAATTGGTGGTACATATTATGCCTGTAGTTACGAGTTTATGGCTGGATATTAGGGCCACAGGAACAGTATAAAATGCAACTCAAGCTTTTTGTAACAATAATTTTTTTCAAAAGCAGAATTAGTGAGCAAACCCAGGATAATTTGCAAACATACCCAGTGACTGCTTATGCATTCCTGTCAATGAAGAAGGATTTTATAGATGAAAGCTGTGTATGTTGTGCTGATACTAGAGAACTATTCTTTAATTATTCAAATAGTAAGTCTGAAGTGAGATATGATGAAAATAATATGTGACTGAAACTTTGAAGTAGGGAAAGAAATGCAGGTTTTAGCTGAGTTTTACCCAAATGCTAAATTCCTTTTTCTAGACTGTGCTTAACATGCAGGTTTCCTGTGTTCAGTTTACAGTCTGCAATTGCTGGTAGCAGCTTGTGTGGCAAATGTAACCTGGCTCCATCTCCCTTGGGTCTCTCTTTGGGCACTGACAAGTGACTGACCCACGTAGAAATTTGGGAGCTCAGCAGTTCTTCCAGTACATTTTTGACCAACTGCTGAACACTGTTATGTGCTGCGAGATTCTCTCTCTATCCCTGCTGATGCTACTGCCTCATCTGACAGATATTCAGGTTTCCAATGCCTATTGCTTTTCCAGACCCATGGTGTTACTTAATTTTCCTTTATCTGTGTTTATCAAATTACTCAAACTCCTTGTAACTTTACAAAGTTCACACTTTATTGATATCGTGCTGTGCTGGTGGGTTATAGATGTATTTCCTGAATGTCTCTGTGCATTTTACCTGTGAAAGCTTCCTTCTCTTGTGGGTAGGATGAACAGTGTCCCTTTCAGATGTTTCACTGAACCTTTCTAAAAGGGGGAAGGAAGGCATCCTCCTTCAGCTGGTTGTTCCCAAGTACAGTGATCCATAACTTCATTCATGGTACATTTCTCCACCAAAACTTCCTCTCCTAAATTTAGGCTTTTTTCCACAATAGCCATTTTCATTAGTGAATAATTCCCTTCATTTCTACTTGAAAATATTCACTTATGCATGCAACTGTATTAAAGCTGTTCAAAAGTTCAGAGGGATATTATTTTGAATTAAATATAAAAGTAAATGTGATTAAACTTTCTAGCAGGTAAGAACTCTTATTCTAAATACATTCTCTCAAAGAGGAAAATTGTTTTTTTGTAAACAAAGAACTTTAGTATTCATCTATCTCCTCTTAAATTGCACTATGTGCCTGCTATGATTTCATACTGATGTGCTTTTGCTGTAATGACAGAAGGGAATAAATTGCCTTAAGAAGCACTTTGAGGTTAACATTTGAAGAGCTTACATTTCAATTTTGAAAGTTTGTATTTTTCCCTTTGGTAATGCAAGAAGATGGCCTCTGCTGATGGCTCCTTAGGGAGCTATCAAACAAACAAACAAACGAATAAAGAACATGGAAAAAGCCAATAGTTTGCATATAATCAAACTCAGAGATCCTCAGTTTATTACAACACTGGAAAAGTGCATTCAGTTTGGCAGTGCTGGAAGGTTGATGACTAATGAAAGTGTAAATTACAGAAGGACCTGGAGGGGGCACAATTAGCTAAAAAATGAAAGTAGTGAATATCCAATGTTCTCATAGTTAAGGGAAATAAATATGTTTTTTCCCTCCTTGTTTTGAATCAAGCGAGTATTATTGAAGCCCTCACTCCCAGTAATACTTAAAACTATACTAAGATACTTCTTAGGACAATATAATACTCAGTTAAATCTATATATTTAGTTGTTTTATGAGAATTGCCATTTCTTTTTTTTTTTTTCTCCATATTAGAATAATAATATTTCAATACATTATCTTGCTGGAAAATCAGTTAAGGTGAGAATTTTGAAAATAAATGTGCAATTCTGTTTTAATTGTAAAGTGATTCCTTGGCTAAAACCTGGTAAGAATTTCTGGCATTCGTTTATTCCACCTCCCCTGCCAACATTTTTTTACACTGCTGGGTGACTGGTACCACAAGTGTTGACATTTCTCACATCTAATACTTCACCTTGCAATTCTGACATTCTTTCATCCAGTTAAGTTAGGAGTTTATTTAATTAATTACTTTCATCACCTTTCCAGTCTGGAGCTCGTGATGCTAGTTGCTCACCTTTTTTAATAAAAATATTTACAAGACTTAATGCAGTAGTCACCTCAAATGCAAAAGCTGCATTGGGCTTTTTTATCTGTTAGGGACAAAGAAAGGCCTGGGCAGTCTAAGTTTAGCAGAACTGTTAAAGATATTGCTAATAATCATTTTAGTCAGAGCTTAATGTTTTGGGATTAAATTTGAATGTACATTTGAGGCAGTCTGTGTTCTATAAATCTAACTCTTTGACTTTAAATCTTACTATTTTACATCTCAAAAAATCCCCTGTATCCCTGTGTGCCTAAATTAGAGTATATAATAAATAAAATTACCTCCCTTTGATTCCAAACCTTTCTGTCAGCAGAAATATGAATATACAGAACCTGAATCCCAGCTGCCAGTGTAGATTACACCAGTCATCCCCAGGGAATGTTCAGGGTAGACCCCTTTTTGACGATTTTATCCAGTAAAGGCAAGAAGCACTCCAGTAGAGTCCAGCAGCAACTGAAGAAAGCCACGAGGCCAGCAAAGGCAGAGGCACGCAGCCCCACAGAAATTTCTCTGTGAATTAATGGTTCACATAGCCCTGTTTGGCTTGGGCTACCTTCACAGGTCAGACTCTTTTTACAACAGGCTCTATGCTGAGATTCTTTTAACCATTCTTTTCTCATTCAAACCACGTTACTTTTGTGACTTGAAAAAAATTTACATTTTGTCCCACAGTTAGCTTTGTGTCAGGATGGTCTGCATAAATTGTATGTACATTCATTTAACTGATGAGGAGCCATAATTTGGAAGGACTTAATGCTAATAATAACTCAGTAATTATTACAGTAATAATATTAAAATTATCAATTTGTTGTTAACTGAATGGAAGAAAACAGAAATAGATTGAAACACAAGACTGAAAAGGAAATACAGATCAAACGGCATAGCTTGTTCTCATTCTTGATCTTCTGTCAAAAGCTTTACACTTGGTAATGATGATAGATTACAATTAGGTCTCAGAATGATCACCATGCCTGAAATACAGGAATGACTCTCTGAGTAGCTCTCTGCCAAGGGCTTGGTGACCTAGGTAATTGGGAAAAAGCTGTAAAGATTTTCCACATCTTTATTTCTACCTTGAAAAAAGAATTTGAAGTAGTTTCTGCAAATTCTTACACTGCATTTCAAATCACCTGAATAGACTTCACCTTATTTTGTCTGAGGTGCTCACAGTATTCAGAAAAATAATTAATTATCCTTCTATCTTACTCTTCATCTCTGACCGTAACCACTTTCTTGTCCAGATAACACTTTTGCCAGTTCACTTGTCTTAATTTAAATGATGAAAATCTATCACCAATATTCAGTGACATGACCCAGGACTTCGTAGACTCACTCTTAAAAAAAAAAAAAGATTAATTGTGTACTTTTTTCATTGTAAATATCAGGGCTTTAGAAATACTTTTTAATTAAAGAAATAGCATAAAGTATGCTGAGAGAGAAAGAATGGATTTTTGGTTGGAAATGCTTATAAAAGAGTACAATGAGAGACATTAAAGGAACTAAACACTTGACCAGAGTGCAGGAAATGGGCAAAGAATGAAAATGAGGCTTTCTTTGGGCATTAAAAAAACCAAAAAACAAAAAAACACCACCCAAAAACCAGCAAGTTGAAGACTTTAGTCCTTTGAGAAATGGTCACCTGAAAAATGAACAGAGAAATGATGACATTGGCAAAAGAGACTGAGGGGGAACTAGTTCACTATGCAGACTGGGGTTATAGCTGCCCCATCTCTGGAAGCTGCAATAACAACACAACAGCTGGGTTGGGCATAGGCCATTTGCAAACCGAACTCTCTCGTGCTTTGCTTGACACTAATTTTCTCATTCATGTTTTTCTGCCATCAGCTGCAGCCTAACTCATAGTTACCTAGTAATACTGTGGTGTGATTATTACTGATGATATATTGTCATTGTAACCTTAAAAACTGGCACTAGAATAGAGCTCTAACAAAGAGGGAGCTAAAATGGATGCTCTCTTCCCACCCCCACACCCCACATAATTTCTTCACTTTCTAGAGAAGAACTTAAAAATTACTCCAAAGATAGTAATCCTGTGCTGTACAAGAAGCTTCTTAGAGTAGCATATATTTAAATGTTTTTTTAAAAAGCTTTAAGCATGTCAACCTCATTTCTGTAACTTAAGAAAAAATACTTCATGGATTGATGTATCAGTTTAAGGGATAATTTACTCTCAAGATAGGGAATTCATAAATGCTTTGAAGAATGTTGAAATACATGTTTCTAGGATCCCCAGCATCAGGATTTTCTTGCAGAGTGGAAAGACAAGTCAGGGGAGTTTCAAAAGCTGCTGTTCATTCACTGCCTGAGACCTGACAAATGTACAAATGTAATGTAATGTACAAAGCTTTCACCTTAGTGAGAAAGGTCTGTCTGCATCTTAAAAACCAAAATTATTTGTGAGTATGCATGCACTTGTATTCTACAACAGTCTCTCATAAAGGAAAACAGAAATTAATAAGATTTTTAAAGAACTCCAGCAAGTTTGAAATTTTAATGAAAATTTTTTATAACCAGAATAGTAGGACTTTAGCTTTTGTTGTTTCAGTTGCACACCAAAATTTCCAGTGCTCTTCCTTGAGACTGTCTTACACACCTTGTGCCTACCCTTATTCAGTGCACCTGCTATTTTTGCTGGATGTCATTGTCTGTGTCAGTTTGATCTGATCTAGAAAGACAGCTTGGTGGTAAGCAGGAGAGTAGATAATGCAGGTGCTTAAGCAAGTGTTGCAGACACACAGATCCCTTTAGTTCCCTGGAAAGTGTTTTGAAGCAGAACTGTTGTGATTTGAGTCTGGGTATAAGGTTCTAACACAGATCACAGAAAGTACTCACAGTTGTGAATCTTTATTCAAAACAAAAAGTCAGCTTGCTAAAAACCAGAATAGAAGTATTTGCTTAGACATTTTCCATACACTGTCAGGGTAGTGGAACTACTCTTAGCTCCCGTCCCAGCCATACCAAGAAAGCACACTGAGAGAGACAGGCCATACCTGTCTGCACTCACTCCTCCCATCCAGGAGCAGTTCTCTACATACACTTCCTCACACACCTGCTCAGCTTTGGCTTCGCACTCAGACAAAGAGAGGAAATTAAGAGTCACTTTAGAGCCAGAGTCACAGCTCACTTGTCCTGGGCTCCTTTTGGCCGGCAGCGGAGCCTCCTGGCTGCTGGGCTGAAGGCTCCTCCCCGAGAGGCGGCGGTGCCGGGAGCGAGGGTCTGGAGCCAAAGTAATTCACCAGCCTCTGCCTCGTCGCTGCGACCTCTTCTTGAAAAGAGTTTATGGTGCGGCTGCCAACTTTGCACTTGAATCAAAGCAAGAGATTGAGCCTTTCAGCGGAGCAGTTTAACTGTGGCATTCAGCCACATTCCAACCCTCTCTCCTCAGGCTGCATTCGGGTATCAGTGTTTTATGATAGCAATCATACCCTGGTCAGCCCAGTGCACAGCCCTCCCAGCTATTGGTGACAGTATCCTTGGGGCTAAGTGCCCTCACCTGAGGCTGCTGCTTCTCATTTTTTATATGCTTTACTTAGAAATACCGTCATATTATGACCCTCTTATATCTTGATACATTGCTCTAAATCATTCACAGTTCAAGATAGGTAACACCACTCTTAGTCCACTTTAAGATATCACTGTGCCTCATGATCCTATTTTTTGTACTTTAATCTGTTGCACAGCGACCTTAAATGCTTAACCTTGAGAGTCACCAGGTATATATTTAATACAGAACATTATTAGCAAGGCAGGATCTTATCTGTGCAAACCCACCAACAAGTAATAAGCAGAACCTTTTACTGTTCCTCATCAGGGAGCTGGGTTCACTTGATTCTTACTATCCGTAGGATTAGGGCTCACAGATCAGCTGATCTTGATCAACTGAGCTGCTCGGTTGTGTGCTTTCTTACATGTCAACACTATGGCATGAAACTCCCCAGAAGTGAGGAGGAGTAAAATATTTGAAATGAGCTTTAAAGTTTAATTAGGCAGATTTATATGTAAAACTGGACAAGTGAAGCAATGATCTGGTCAAATTTTGTCTTTTCACATATGTTGTTCATCCCTCCTGTGAATGATAGAGCTGCTCATTGTTGAGTTTTGTGCATTGATTATTGCACCCTATATATTTTTTCTCTGCTGTAATGAGTTGGAAAAACACTTCTAAAGGAAACAGGTTTGCATTCAAAAACCAGACAATAAATTACACTGAGAAGTGCTTAGGTGCAAATCTCTTAGCCAATAATACACATAAATCATTACTTCAGAATAAGTCATGTTCGAGCCTTAGACAATCATTCCTGGCTGATGCTTGGAAATCTTAGCAAGAGTAGTTGTTTATATTCTAGCTTTGAATTTCAGATGACAGTGGCTAACACTTACAATGAAGGTCCTCAGCCGTGTCATCTCCAGCATGTAGTACTCCTCCATTGTCAGCTCATCAAAGTGCTTGGGAAGGGATAAAAAGTCACAGGTGTGACGTTTTCTGTGTTCCTCCCTGCAATATCGACCCAGAATAAGAATGGATGTTAAACCCACAGAAGTTTCATTTCAGGAGAGGAAGAGAGCTGTACAGACAGGTCTCTTCAGTACTTGTGCTGTCTATCAGCAGAAATAATATCATACAGAAAAGATGAAATAGATTTTAGTGGATCTCAGATAAAAACTAGTTGAACAATTTCACAGTTACTGGGCAAGATAAGCTTCCAGTTTTGTGCTCTGTCATAGTGGAAATCGACAGGGACATTAACTCATTGTAAAATGAGTTAATTTTATTACATTACTACAAAAATTACTACAGAAATTTGGAGAGCTACTTCTCAAGAGCATTGGTACATCTTTGCTTACCATGGGTCATCATTTGGTTCCCAGCCCACCAGTTCTAACAAGCAAAAGAAACATTTTGCCACATCTGGTTCATTTGCAGTTGGACAGTGGATGAAGCCAGCCTTTGCCATCTGCAGGGGACAGTTTACAAGTTTAGAGCATTATCCCACACACACTACTCATATTTACTCACATTTCCTGGCACTTCAGAATCATATCTAGTCAGGACACCAAAATTTAAGTTTGTTTCAGTAACCAAACACCTCAGGCAACTCTAGCAGTATGACTCATCTGAGATTCAGGCTGGTAGTGTCATGTGCGTGCCAAAGGAGAAGTCAGGTGGATTTTTTATTTAAATAATTCCCATTTCTGAATTTGAAGTAGCGATCATTCCACTATATCCTTCCTGCTGGATCTGTACTTGTTTAATGTAGGCTGCTTTCTCATGAGTAGAAATTTGCAATTAGAAAGACTATGTAAAACAAGAAATTAATTTTTAAATGACAGGAACAGGAAAAAAATAAAAAGGGAACAAGAACAGTAAATATTAAAATCTGTAGGCAGACTGTGGACTGAACACAGAAAAACCAGAAAATCCCACTACAGTATTTCTGAGCAGGGAACAGAGGAAAGCTGAGTATTTAACTCATCTTCAGGCTTAGTGGACTCCTCTTGAACCTGAATACACTTAATAATGACTTCATATTGAGGCACAGCATATATAAATAAAGGCAACAGCAAACCAACCATTTTCAGACTTACATTCTCTGGAGTGCACTTGCAGTTTTCCTGGAAGGGCCACTTGGTGAAAGTTTTTAAACGGGTCTCATATTCATACATCTCCTTAAAGTCAGTTAAGAGCTTGGAAGCTGAGCTGAGCTCTTGCAGCAGAGTCTCCATTTAGGAAGCCTGCAGTCAGTGAAAGGCGGAGCCTCCCCTCCTGCTCCCACTTTTAAGGGCTTTGCTAATTGGTGACACCTGGAGGGCAGGGGAAGGCCTAACAGAGCCTTAGTCCCTTCCTACACAGGTGAGTTTATGGGCAGGACAGCCAAGGGAAATTGAGCTTCTGGAATTTCTTCTTGTGTCACAGTCTGTGTCCTTGGTGACATTATATATTTTTTAACTGAAAGCACCTATGGTAATTGCAGATTTTACAGTTGAAATGTCAGAAACTGCAGGTTTAAAACTCTTGCAGTTACAGAAACTTTGCATATAAAGTTTTAAAAAATACTATCCTGCTTGCAAGCAAAGGGGTTGAATTGACATTGCTGTTTGAATCCTTCAGTGTTTCTTGAATTTCATGTTCAGAGATTAATTCTTAGGATTGTCTTTGCAAATAGTGTTGCATTTCTTTAAAGAGGAGGTGGTTGTTTTATAATATTATAGGATTGTCTTTGCAAATAGTGTTGCATTTCTTTAAAGAGGAGGTGGTTGTTTTATAATATTATAAGTACTCATTTCTATTTTAAAATATTATACAGCATAGCTAGATGCTGGATGATAATATTTTAAAGGTGTATATCTGTAAGGGTTTACAGTATCAAAGCATTAAGCTGTCATTTGATAAACTGTCTCTTGTTTTGGTACAGAGTCCAGTTAAATTCAGTAGATGTTTAAACATCACTGTCTTCAAGACTGCTGCACGCAGTAGCTTTCTAAGCCAAGATCTTAACACCTCTGAAGGATGTTGCACTGTGACACTGGAAAATTTAAATCTTCCCCGAAATACAGATGGAGTAAGTGCAGAAAATAATCCAGCCCATTATTCTGTCTAGATGTGGTGACAGAAATGAGATTAAAGAACATTTGTATAGGACTTCCAATGTCAGCACTTGGGGCATTGCTTTTGCCTAGATTTACAAATGCTACATCATTGATTCCTCTGGGACTGTACTGATATCTATTGTATATGCAGGAATATTGTCCTTGAAATTTATATCAGATATTTAGAGTAACATGTTACATGAAAATATGATACTTTAATTATTTTTTTTCCAGATAATACCAGTGGTGCAGGAATTTATCATTCATAACCTGGGCCCTCCAAGCACTGATATTAATAGTTTCTCCTGGTGATGACTCCATGGCAGCATTTCTTAAGTTTGCTGATGATCAGGTATTTTAATATTTTTTTTACTGTTACATATGTATTTTAATCTCTTTTTTACTGTAGTTGATGTTTGTGTGTGTATATGTGTGAACATGTGAGTGTATTTGTATGACGCAAGGAACTTTGTTTAACTAAAAATGGAAATGCCAAACCAAACCCAAAACCTGTTTTTAACTGCCCAAAACCAGTAAAATTGATCTCATGCTTCTCTTTAAAATAAGGCACTAATTCATGTATATGGATTGTTTTCAGGAATGAATAATTTGTCTGTTGTTTAAAAGAAACTGTAGGTTAAATATTTTGGCATATTTTATCATCTTGGGATGTCATGAGCTATTTAACTAATTAATTTGTGTCATTTCAAATGGAAAATGCAAAAATGGAACAAAACCACAATAGTTTAAATGTAAGCAGTCTTATCTGAAAATGCTATTTTTTTCAAAAATGCTTTATGTGTAATGTATAATTTAATCAAAAACACCACAGTAATGTGGGACCTTGGAGTCCTGGGTGATATTTATGCATCAGAATTGAAATATGGGGTGGTTTTTTTGCTTTGATTGTTTTTATGGCATTTAAAACAAACAAAAAATTCCCAACAGCCCAAATCCGTTCTTATGTAGAAAAGTCCTGCTAGGATACTAGAAAGTAAGATTATACATGTAATAACACATCCACCCAAATCCGTTCTTATGTAGAAAAGTACTGCTTTTCTTACTAGAAAGTAAGATTATACATGTAATAACACATCCTAAGATGTATTTCTTGCATTTCTTGCCTATAATTCTGTCAGAATTCTGTGCTGTTGAGAATGACAGGTATATTTCAAGTCTATCTGTAAAGGTATCCTTTTTTTAGGATATAAAATTTTATAGTAGGCTGTCTACATCCTTCAAGAGAATACTGTTTGCAGAAGTGATCTGAAACTGTCAGAATTTCATAGGTCTGGATTAAGTGGATGGGTAGATGGAGCTTTTCACTGGAAGACACACAAGATGTGGCATGACATGAAAGAAAAGATTTAAATCATATTTTAAATGATACAGTACATTAAATATCTGACATCCAGTATCTGATCCTGACTTTTACACTCATTACTGTGACTAATGTTGCAACTTTGTAAATCAGTTAAAGTCGACCCTGATGAACTGTATCTGTGATCTGGGGGAAGACAGGCTCACAAATGAAATAGCTGTATTCCACTGCAAGGAAAGTAGTTTCAATTACTGCCAATAGTGGAGTACGTTTGTCTACCTGTAAAGGTATCCTTTTTTTTTGGGATATAAAATTTTATAGTAGGCTGTCTACATCCTTCAAGAGAATACTGTTTGCAGAAGTGATCTGAAACTGTCAGAATTTCATAGGTCTGGATTAAATGGATGGGTAGATGGAGCTTTTCACTGGAAGACACACAAGATGTGGCATGACATGAAAGAAAAGATTTAAATCATATTTTAAATGATACAGTACATTAAATATCTGACATCCAGTATCTGATCCTGACTTTTACACTCATTACTGTGACTAATGTTGCAACTTTGTAAATCAGTTAAAGTCGACCCTGATGAACTGTATCTGTGATCTGGGGGAAGACAGGCTCACAAATGAAATAGCTGTATTCCGCTGCAAGGAAAGTAGTTTCAATTACTGCCAATAGTGGAGTACGTTTATTTTTTATTTTCTTGCTTCTTTCATACTTCATCAATTGAAACTTATTGCTATGGCATTAATAATACAGTTCTCAAGGTGTGTTTTTTTTTTTTTTTGCAAAGGTAAGACTGGGAAAACCTATCCACTGTTTTAATAATTGGATGTGTTTGCAATCACATTTTACATTATTTTGCATTATTTTTCTGTAATTAATGTAGATTATCTAAATGAGATTGTGTATTTAGCTAGATGGTCTCAATTGGAAACCAAATCAAACATTTCTACCTGCGTAAAGACCACAAATCAAACTTGGTAAGGATTAAAAAACCCCTAAAATATTATATGAACAATATTTTATAACACGGCGCTGTTAAAAAATGTATAGGTGTATGCTCTCATGCATACAGTTGTATGTAATGTATATCAATTAAATTTACATTAATTAATAGCTTTAAAAATAAAATTGCTTTGAGGTTTTAAGAGACTTGGGAAATGATGCTCATGACCATTTAAAGAGCTCCTGCTGAAGGCCTTTGTTTGTCAAGAAGAGGTTTCCCCTGACTCACAAAGTGTGGGAGCAGGAAGAAGCTGGGCTCTGAGCAGCTCAGCTCAACTGTGCAGGACAGGAGAAAAAAATGAACTGTTCCTGCAAGCTGTAAAATATCCTACTGCCACCCTCGCTGGCTGGCTGTGATTTATTCAGTGCCAGGACAAGAGCAGCCCCTGGCAGAGTGAAAGCAGCCGGGATGCAGAGAGCAGCTCTGGCAGAGGGCGTTTCCTTCCCTGTGTGCAGAGGTAGGTGGGCGTTAGCCAGAGCAGCCTCTCGGGAATTTGCCAGCAATACATGGCACTTCTTCATGCTCCAGCTTCCTAGGCAGTCCAGCATGGCCAAAGTCTGTTCAAGGTATGGATGGGCAGGAACAGGGGTGTTCCTTTCACTGTCAGTCTGCAGTGATTTTGGTTATTCGTGTGGTTAAACAGCAATAATTCAGGCAATAATGTGATTAACAGGCAAGTGGCTCAAGCAACTTCACAGAGGTGTTTCTTTCCTGAAGGAGAATGGGGCGTGGGGGGTTGTGAGGGGGATGTCCTCCTATTACATGACCAAAGGTTCTGAACAAATTACAAATATAGTTCCTAGCAGGGAGGGAACCTTTTTTTTTTGCCCTGAAAGATAAAGATTTGTATGTAGTAAACATTTATTGATACTTTTTTTGACTGGTTTGCTTTATCCCAGTTCTCAGTGTATCACCACTCTTGCCTTCCTGCAAGTAATTTTCTTTTATCACTCAAAAGTTGTTTTTTTTTTTAATGCACCTAAGAGGAGTCCAGCTTCTCCCCACCTCAAGAATTTAAGCATGTTTGATTTTCTAAAAAATAAATAAAATTATGAGCACAGCTATGGCCTTGTTATAGCATACATTTATTTTAGAAATATGTTGAAGTAGAGATATTTTTAGAAAAGTTTTCCATAAGTTTATATCCAGGGAGTTTCAGCTGCATTACTATGGAATTTTTTGGTGCTGTTGTTCTTCAAAAGCAGCAATGGCTGGGTGACTTGAGGGATGATTATTAAAAAGTATTTGAAGGGCTGGCGATGAAATGGTTCAAGCATGAACTAGCAGAAGTAATTAACAGCTTTTAAACTTTCCAGTGAGAATTCTGGCTGCTGCTCTGATCACTGTCCTGTTTTCCTGGAGGAGCTGCCAGCTGATGCTCCTCACTGTGACTGGGGAATGCAATTATGGTGCCAGAGGCACTGACACTGGGGTTGGCTCTGTAAGTGTTCTGAAGATGTTATTTTCCTCGGAAATCATTACAAATGTCAATTAGGTACTTGATCCAAGTGGTGTTTATTTTGCCTCTCCTGAAGGAGATGTATGTCAGAACAACAGAATTACCAACAGCATTTTTTTTTTTTAATAGATGCATCTTTACTGAAACTGATGTGTCTCAGTGTTTACTCAATCACTGCTTTGGTGGCAGTGACCTTCTCTCAGGCCTGGTTTCAGTGACTTCTAAGAAAGGGACATTATGTAAACACAAGTCATCTAAATTGACTCTGTGTGAGTCAGCACTCAGGGGACAGTAAGTGAGAAACACAGCCCAGTGAAGTTAAAGCATTTAAAAATAGGCATAAGAGAAATAGTTCATTATATTTCCTGGGGGCAGAAAGGCCACAATAACCAGCTTAATTTATCACACAGGAGTTGTGTCAGCCATCAGCAAAACACCTGCAGGCACTTGGCAGGCAGTGGGCTTGGAGAGGGGCTGCAGCCCCTTACACTTGGTATCTCATTTTAACTGAATTTCCATCAGCTCCCAGAATTTTTCAGGAATTATATCTTTGTGTCTTTTTATATCTTAGTTAACACACTTTATTAATCACTCTAGGAAAGCCTGTAGTGGTTTTGAAGTACAGCTTGTGGCCTCTTGTGGGCTGGTTGGCTACTTCTGCATATTTTTTTTTGCTCTAGAGGTGTCTTTCCCCATCTCTTCTCGGTACTGAAGCTGTACTGAATACACAAAGACACTTGCACAGAATCCTTTCCCAGAGATCTTTGGAATGACTGCAAATTCTGCTATTACCAAGGCTCAGTCAGGAACACAGCTGCTGTTTGATGGAATTCTTACACAGGCACGATGCAAAGCCACACACCACCTTACCCTAATTTTCTACTGTATATCCATGTTAGTATGTTCACCTTCCCTCCTGAGTTTTCACTGTATCTCCATTCTGGTGAAATTACTTTTCCACTCAAGAATGTTTTAAGGCTTTTTTTTTGGCGGGGGAGAATTCTATTTTTTTTTTTTTACTGTCTTCCTGAGGAAACATTTTGTGACTGTACAGCCAAGAATGTTTTAAGGCTCTTTTTTTTTAGTTCTAAGCTAGTAACTTGTACTACAGTAGGAGAGGGAATTCTGCTGCTTTAGAGGAAGGAAACATTTTGTGACTGTACAGTCAGTTTATAGATCTCCTACTTCCTCCAGCTTTTAAGTTTTCAACCCTTGGCCAGTTCTAGTCCAGTTTGTAAGCCAGGTACAGTCCAGTGCCACCACAGTTTTTGCCACAGTTCAGGAAAAAAAAAAAAAAAAAGGACAGCTGTAGGCAACTGACTTTTGTTAGTTCTAAGCTAGTAACTTGTACTGCAGTAACAGAGGGAATTCTGCTGCTTTAGAGGAAGGCACTTGCAGCAATGCCACAGTGAATGAAATAGGAATAGTGAGGAGGGTTTACAGGTAGTAAACTCAAGACATGCTCTGGGCAGATCATGTTTCTGAAGGATGGGAGTGAGAATTTCCCAGGATGGGCAGCTTTTTCCAGAAGAGACTATGGACTTTTTCTCTGAGCAGTCCAATGACTACAGGATAAGCCAGACAATCACAGTAATTTTCCAGGGAATCCCCCAATCCACTATTCTTTTTTTCAGTATTGCTCCTACCCAACTGCCCTAGACATAAATGTAGGACAGAGCATTTATGTTGGTTTTTAATTGTTTAAGCAACCCTGTTAAGCAAAGTATTTTGACATCTTCCTTTTCAGAATTTATTTTAGGGGCTTGTAGTGATGTCTGCTGAACTGAAAGGAATACTAAAACACAAAAGTAATCAAACCTTAAGAAACTCAACAAAAATATCTGCTCCTTGAATTTTTTTTTTATTTTCTGAAGGCTCCTTATGTATAAGGAACATACATAAAATGAACACAACACTGTTGACAATGAACAAAACAGCATTTGATAATTTCCAGCTTTATAAAATTTTTTAAAAATGATTTAGTTATAACAAAAAAAACCAATAGCTCAGCAAGTTATCTTATTGGACCATTATCACATTTTAAACCATAGACTCAGTTGTTAATGGGGAGAGGAAAGAAAAAAATAATAAAAAAATAATCACACTGCATCTAGCAACTACAACATTTTCTAAGCATAATCACAGCGGATTGAGTGCAATGTGATTTACATCAG